ATTTACCTTTTTTTATGTGAGTAAACTTGATCAGTCTCAATGGCAGGCTGTTTGTGTAATTATTGTAAAATCTCTGTAAAAGCATGCTAGGAGGCTGTTCTTAAAAGTTTCATAACATTTCCACTTGTAAGAACATCCAAACATGTGGACCACTTTTGAGAAAATGCTCTTGTGCTAACCATCTTCTATAAGATCATAAGTAAGAAGGTGCTCACTAAATGGCATTAAAACTCTTAAACAAATGGTGCTGGCAAAACTGGAGAGCCCATGGAAAACACTGAAGGTAGACCTTACTTTCCACCATATATGAAAAGTCACTAGAAATGGATTAAACACCCACGTGTAAGACCCAAAACTACAATATCATTAGACTAAAACGTAAGGAGAAAGCTGCATGACATTGGACTTGGCAATAATATCTTTCTGTCCATTATAGCAAAATGAAAATGCAGCAAAATGGAAAATTTGAATTTCATCAAACATAAGAATTTATGCATCCAATGACACAGTCGGAAGTGACTAGCGATTTTTGGAAGGGTAAAAATATTTACAAATCATTCTCTAATACTGAGCTACATTCCAGGATAATCAACAACAAACATCAAATCACTCAATTTAAAACAGTGAAAAGGACTTTCAATACACTCTCCCTTCAAGATATAGCAATGGCTAAGAAGCATATGAAATGTTGCTCCTCATCAATAATTGTTAGGGAAATGCAAGGCGAAACCACAATGAGGTAGCACCCCATTCCTGATAACTGGGCTCTTATCAAAAAAAAAAAAAACAGAAAATTACAAGAGTTGCTGAAGATGTGGAGAAAGTGTGCACTGTTGTTGTACTATCATAAAACCACTATGTAAAGCAATAAGGTGGTTCCTCAAAAAATTAATAATAGGCTACTACATGCTCCAGCAAGCCCACTTCTGGATATTTATTCACAATATGAGAAAACAGAATCTCAAAGAGGTATTCACACGCTCAGGATCATAGCAGTACTATTCACAATAGCCAAGAGGTGAAAGCAACCCGAATGTCGATGGACACATGATGGATAAATAAAATGCATTATAAATATAAGTGTGTGTGTGTGTGCGTGTTATTAATCTTAAAAAGATAAAATCCTGTTGAATGTCAGAACATGCATAGACTTGGAGGACATTAAACTGAGTGAAATAAGCCAGTCACAAATAGGCAAATACTATATGATTCCATTTCAATGAGTAGTCTAGAGGTGTCAAATTAATGGAAACATCAAAAAGAATGGTGGTTTCCAGGCTTTGGGTCAAGGGAAAAACGAGAGTCATGGCTAAACAGTGAGTGCAGAGTCTCAGTTCTGTAGGTTAAAAGTCCTGAATGTCTGTGTCACAACAGTGAGAATATACTCAACATTGCTGAGTGGACATTTAAATATTATTAAAATTGTAAATCATGTGTTGTGTGTATTTTACAATGTAAAGAATAGCGATCCCTGAAAAAGGAGGTAGTAGAGCTCACAACTCAATCACGCAAGCGCTTTTCCTTGGGATAAGCAACAAACCTCTCTGTGCAGCACAAGTGTCTAGGATACTCCAATCTCGTCACGCAGAACACCATGAAGACACGTTCTCAGGACACACAATATAATATTTATAGGTAATTTTTGTTTTATCTTCAAACAGAATTTGGGGTGCTAGACATCTTCATGTGATATTACTAGTATTTGGTAGATTGTCAGTTGCTTGAGGGAAGTGTCTTCCTTCAGGTGTTCCCTATCCTGACACCAGGATGTAACACGGAGCTGGGACTCTGTCCAGAGGTCTGTGAGGTGCCACTGGAAGGTGAGGAGATGTGGTTTGTAGTTTGGAAAGAGCCCAGGGCTGCCCTGTACAGAGGGACCTAGGAGCAAAGGCAGAAGGAAGTCTGAAGACGCCCAAGGAGATGGTTGCAGAGCCTGGCCAGGGCTAAGCTGCTTTGCACTAGGATCAGGCTACTCCACATTGCCAGGAAGAGGGGGGGTCATTCACCCCAGCTGGGGTCAGGGAACTAGGAAGTGGCCAGGAGGGAGGGATGTCACATGACACCAGCTGGCGGCCTGGGTTGCCCAGGTGGGTCACAGAGGAAATGTTAGAGAATTGAGAAGGTCCTGGGGGGGAGAGGGTACCCCAGAGGAGTCTGTATTAGGACTCAAGTGCACGCATGCTCGTCCTGACAGGTGACCAGAGCTGGCTTGCGCCCTGCCCTTTACTAGCTGTTACCCCTAAGACTGAGGCCACCTTCTTCTGCTCCCACCTTTAGAAGTCCCTGCTCACCCTCCATCATGCCCTGGACCCTTCCTCTCCCTCCCCAAGGCCTCCCCTGTGGTTGTTCCTCGGGTCTCTCCTACGCTGTGGGCCTCGGACCTCTCCCGGGACCATTGTCATCCACCTGGACACACACCTTACACACAGGCCCCACCTCTACTCTCACATGGCCTGCAGCTCTGCCACACTTGGCTCCGACTCTTGACAGGAACCCCCTCCTAAGGCCATCCCCGCCTGCTGACATCACACCCTTCAATCCCAGTGCACATGGCAGTTGTGCACTGAAACCATCTGACTAAGGTCCCCAAGGCCCAAAAGCACCCAAATCCAGGGACGGAATTTCCTCTTTCTTCTTCTTTTGTACTATCCCAGTGACCCTGGACAAGCTCAGCCATTCCCTAGAACCTGAAACATTTGGTTCTCTTGGCTCCTTAGCCCCATGTCTGGTTTCCCCTGTGCCACTGGCTGCCTCTCCCCAATCTCCTTGCTGCTTTGCTCCTCCTCCACCACCACCAGCCGCCACAGGTTGACTAGCCCCTCCTGTCCTCAGACAGGAATGTTCTCCTTCTGCACTGTCTCCCTGCCCTTCACACCCAGTTCAAGGACTTCAAATTGGGCTCGGCCCAGACACCCCCTCCCCATCCACCGACCTGCATACGGAATAGACACAGTCTTAGGGTCAAAGAAGAACCCTTCCTCATTCTCTCCAAGTCCACCCATCTAAGTGTCTTTCCCCCCTTAGTACATGTCACACCACCCATCCAGGTGCTAAGGCCAAATTACTGCAAGTCTTTTCTCTTTATTTTTAAATCATGGCAGATTTAGGCAAAGCTTGTAAAGACTAGAACAAACAGCTCCCGTTCACCTTAACCAGATTCCCCCACTGGTAACATTTTACTACATGTATGTGCTGTGCTGTCTTGTCCTGGTGTTTCTGAGTGTACATGTTACCATTCTCCTAACTCACTGGCAGTGCATTGCAGACGTGATGCCCCACGACCCCCTAATACTTTCATAAGTAAGGAAGCATGTGTTTCTTTACCCGAAGGACGCTGTCATTTTTAAGGTGGCACTGCCATTCACATCAGGACACTATGATTGGCACATTATCATCTCATGCTGAAGAGAGAGTCCCAGATTACACCAACCATGTCCCCTGCAGTCTGGATACACACCAGGCTCATCTGTTAAAATCACACCCAGTATCTGCTTAGTTTCCTTCTATCTGGAACAGATCCTTCATCTCTTCATGTCTTTCATAATCTTGCATTTTGAAGAGTACAGACCAGCTCCTGTGCTGAAAGTCTATTTGGGTTTCTCCTATGTTCCTCAGGATTTGTGTATTTGGGTCAGGAGGAGTAAAAAACATTCACCACCTATCTGCCAGGTCTCTCTACTGTCATCTTAAATAATCACATATTTTAGTAATTAATTCCAGGGTGGTATTTATGGGAATATAGATTGCAATTGTGTCTACATTCATATTTGGCATTGTACAGTAATATAACACCTTCCCCTTTCCCTTATTTTCTTTTTAAAATTTTATTTATTTATTCACAAGACACACAGAGAAAAAGGCAGATACATAGGCAGAGGGAGAAGCAGGCTCCATGCAGGGAGCCCAATGCAGGACTCGATCCCAGACTCCAGGATCTTGCCCTGGACCAAAGGCAGATGCTCAACCGTTGAGCCACCCAGGCAACCCCCTTTCCCTTATTGATTTATTTATCTCTACATGATTCACAGATTCTACTTTACACAATAGAGGAGAATCTACTACTGTCTTATCCATTTTAATACTCCACTTGCCCCAGATTTCACCATTGAGCATCTCTTTGAACTGCTTATTAGGTTGAATCCTGGTGGATGTACCAGTGCTCTTGGTGATGGTGAGCATGAATTCCCCTCTTTTCAGTAACAATCTCCTCCCAGATTTTCATGTCCACTCTTACCCAAGTGATTGTAAGATATAATTTCGGCCTCAGCACCTGGGATGTGCTCTAAATGGCTCAGGCTAATCTGCATATCTCATGCCCATAGAACAGAAGATTGTTTGCAGTAGGGCACCTGCCGATTCAGGCCATAAAAACACAATTAATGTTTGATGAAGTTTCTTAGGAAAGAAGTTTCCATTCATCTTGGAGGGAGGTGCTGGAAGAGAGGCCACCAAAGAACTCTCTTTCCCTCTGGATGACATAGTATAAAATGTCAAGAATGGACCTGATGAGGCCATTGCTGCTGCCCAGATGGATGCCTGAGAAGGAAGCTAGCCGGAGATCAATCTCACTATACAGCTGTGGGAGGACCTGAGAGAATGGAAGAGAAACAGGACTGGAGCTCTGGTGACAGTACTCATTTCTGGATAATTCTGTGCCTAAAGCTATCTATGGACTGTTTAATGATTTCATCCAAAAAATTGCCTTGTTCATTTAGGCCAGAATGACCTAAGATTTCTTCTTCTAAGCAAAACAATCTTAAATAATACACTCCCCAAAATACCAACAGAAGCAAAAGATCGGTTTCTGCTCCTTAGGACCAAGAGCCCTCTTATCTACAACTCTGTTGTTCTTCCCCGCTGGTCTGAGAGCTCCTGGGATATATTCACTGTGTACTCCCGGCTCTTAGAAGATTGTGTGTCTCTAGTGAGGGCTTCATAGGCATTTCATGACTTTATGTGGAAGAGCTGCTAACGTTGTCTTGTCCACTACATCCCCAGGTTCTACAAAAAAGTGTGGGACATACAATAAACTTTCATTGAGTGAGTGCATAAGTCATCCAAGCCTGTTTTTGACACCCTCCACTCAAATCCCCCAAAAGGAACAGAAGCTGTGACCAAAAGCTTCCAAGACATTTTATTCTCCTGCCAGGGGACGACACTGCAGGGAGCTAGCTGAGAGAAACTGGAGGGTCCGTCCTGGATTTAGGAAGGCAGGAGCTGGCGGTGCCTGCTGGAGACTCTGTGCTTCTCCCCGGGATGGAGTAAGGTCCCAGTTTCTTGGTCACCTGGAGTGGGGAGAAGAAACAGCTGTGGCAAGGGTGGGGTCCCTGCAAATGTGCACTAGAGCCACCTGCCCCTGCTGATCACACCCAGAGTTACATCCTGGAACCCAATCAGGAGCCTGAGGGAGTATGGGTTTTGGAGATGGAAACCACAGGCTCCAATGACAGGAAATGGTGGGGACCTCGCATTACGAGGTGACACTAGATCTGCCAGCATCAAGTCCCAAAGCCTCAGTCAAGGCAAGACTGGCTGCCAGAGCCACTCAGGGGCCCTTCCCTGCCCCGGGTCCCGCCGCCCTGGCCTGTTCTGTGGGCACAGCCTGGGCAGCCCTGGAGGGAGAGGCTGCAGAACCCTCCCTGCCAGCGGGTTGCCCGAGCCCAGCTCTCTGGCCCCAGGTGTCCTGGGCTAGATGGTGCCTGGTTCTCAGGAACCGCTGCTGGGCTGGGGACAGGAGTCAGTCAGGGCTCTGACATCTATGATAACCCAGTCTGAGGCCACTTCCTTGGTGGTAACCTCCTTACACATAATCATCTCACTCAAGCGTTACTCAAAGAAGAAATCAGGATTATTATCCCCCTCACAGGTAGAGACGCTCAAGTTCACAGGTGTTAAGCTACTTGCTCAAGTGCATGCTGACCAGAGATGGAGCCCTGATGTCACCCAGGGTTGCCTGGGACATAAGCCCAGGCTCTTAGTGAGTATTTCTCAGCCATGTCTAGCTACAGCTCACCTGCCCAACTCCTGCTCAATTTCCACACAGTTCGGGGAGGAATGTGTCTTGTTAAGGGGACCTGGAGGGACAAGTATGAGGTATTGCTGACATCTCTATGATAGACAAATATCTCTATTTTTTTTTAACGATGTTGCACCTGCTTGTGGATATGACCTGCACACTCCAGGAATGACTCTCTGCTTCACCTCTGTACTCACCTGCCAAGGGGAGCATATCCTGAGTATCACACAGATTCGCTTCGCAGGTTCAACATTCACGATGCAGTAGGTGATTTCCCCCAGAAATTTGCGGATGGTTTCTTTGCAATGATTTTCCACGAACGGAAACTTTGAGCACACCAGTGATGCAACTTTTTCAAAGGCTTTCTGCAAGAGCAACACCACCATAACCAGGAACAGGAATTAGCTGACCTCTGCCCCCCAAAAATCCCTGAAGCCCCCAGCTACTCCTGGCCCTGAGCCCCTCTGACTGTGGGCACTGGGAGGAGGACCTGGCATCAGATGGCCATGGAAGCAGAGGCTGGAGAGACCGGGATCAGCCCTCATGCCCAGTCCCAAGGCCCTGATCCAGGCCTGGCCAGGAGGGGCTCAGGAGACAAAGACAGTTGGCTCTGTCCTGTGTCAGTCCCTGGTGCATCATAACCCCAGGCCCACACTGTCTTGTGTGTGGAGCACAGTGCCCCCTGGTGCTAGACCCACAGTCAAGTTCTGCCTACCGAGCCCCCTGGGTCCCAGGCCTGGCGGGGCTCAGGCTCAGGTGGGGTGGGGAAGGTTAGGAGACAGACCTTGGAGCCTTGGCACGTTCCATTTTGCAGTATCATCTACTGCCATCACAGGGGAGAAGGGAGAAGGCTACAGTTGAGTGCCCAGGGCTCAGGGTGGGCCCTGCAGCACCCAGAAGCTGAGCAGGGTCAGGGAACAGAGGACAGAGAGGGAGGGAGGGGGGGAGGGAGGGAGGGTGAAACGAGGCTTCCTGGGAGGAACACATCCACTTGTTCAGCACTTGCTCAGGGCCAGATGGGGAGCTCAGCTCATCCCACCCCTCAGCTCCTTCAAAAGGCTTAAGGAAGTGGTTGGGGGATTGATATCCATCCCATTGCACAGAGAAGGAAACTGAGGCTCTGAAAGCATTAGCACTTGGCCCAGCCATGCACCTAGGAATTGGCAGATCTGGGGTTGGTCAGCTCTGACCCAGGTCTGCCTAGACCCAGCCTGGAAAGCTTTGCCTAGATATACCCAGTGAGGATAGAGCGATAGATTCCCACTTTCCGGGAACAAGTTTCCTTCAACAATGTATTGGAAACCATGCACACTCTTCTTACTAATCTGTGTTCCCAGAGCACACAATTCAGGGAATTCTCAGAAGTCAACCTCCAGATAAACCAGGGCCCCACACATTCCCTGCTGAGAAGCTCTGACCCAACAAGGGATCATTCCCTCCCCCAGCTCCCCAACCCGGTTGTGCCCCACTCCATTGACCGAACAGCAAATTGTTCCCCAAACCATAAAGTCTCACCTGAATTAGGTTACCACCTAGGCAATTCTTCAGCCAGTTAACCATCAATTTACATAAATCGCATTGGTTGAACTGAGGGTCACCCTGTAGAAAAGGAAGAACCCCAAGGGTGATCGCTCAGAAACCCCAAGAGCTCCTGAGAGACTCATGAAGGGACTCTTGGAGCCTCCTAGGACAACAGGATTATCTATGGACTTTAGGATTGAAGCAGGTTGGCTGGCACCTGCCCACCCTCCTGCTAGTCCCAACGGGCTGGGGTCCGGGCACCCCAGGATCTCCCCATACTCACAGCACCTTACCCACCCCAGCACCTGCCCCTCTTCTGGTCTCTGGTCAGACCCCAGAGGAGCCTCTTAGAGTGGGAGAGGGGAGCTGCCACCCAGACCAAGGTAATCCCCTCCCTCAGCTAGATACAGGCCAGGCACAAGCATCTTCAGCCCACAGCCCTGCCTTCCCTCCAGCTGATGGAGACGTGCAGCTCCCAGGGCAGAGAAAATGGGAAGGGGCTGTGGGAAGTAAACAGAGGGCTAACAGTGAACCTTGGCTGCCAACTGGGCCAGGACCTCGAAGAAGTACTCTTCCTGACACATGTCAGCGGTGAATAGGTCATCATGGTCCTCAGGAGTCAGACCAGAAAAGGTCAGACCTGGGGAAGAAACAGCATCAGCATCTGTCCACAGATGGAAGAGGACAGAAAGTCAGAACTCCTGGCTGGTGGGGAGCCCAGGAGGAGGCCAGAGCCCGGACAGGGGTGGGGCTTGGAGAGGGGCCCAGGAGGCCTGTCCTCACACTGCCCTGAGGCTGCCCTCACCCAGGCTCTGTGCAAAAGTCACGCTCTCAAGTTCTTTCTGGAAAGCAAGTGGAAAGGTTATACAGCACCACAACCATTCAAGCAACCCCTTCTCTCTCTCTGTCCCACTATGTCTCTTTCTCACACAAACGCATACACACGCACAGATTTGACCTAAAAGGAACCTTTTCTCAACTCCTCTCTTAGGTCTTTCCTGTCTCTTGTTTTCCCCTAGAGAATCAACACAGGGTCCAGCCCAACCCACTCTCCAGAACTGTCCCTACCTTCAGCTAAAGAGGAGCTGCCAGGATCACGAGGGGAATGTCCTTACCTGGGGTGGCCAGGAGCACTGAGACAAGGAGCAGGAGGGCCCAGGAGGTCATGGCGAGGCAGCTGCTGACACACCCTCACACCCCCTTTATGCAGGCTGGACACCTCCAGTCTGACCTTGTGGCTCCTGCTCCTCCTGTAGGCCACCTCCCCAGGTCCCTGGGTTTACCACAAATGCCACCAGTTTGTGAAGAAGGGGGGGGGAGAAGAGGCTCCACACTATCTCTCTTCCCTCCCCCCACACAAAGCATTCCTAGCTGAGTGCAAGGTGGCTGGAGGGCACAGCTGCCATGATGCCCCCACCCTGCCCCGGATGTGGTCATGGAAGAGCCATCCTAGCACCTGAGAGCTCACGGAGGCACCTCGGCCATGAGCATCCCATCCCCCACCCCTTCCCCAACCTCCCAGGGGTCTGGGCAGGTGTCCCTCCCCCAGCCATCCCCATTTCCCTGCTCTCCCCCAGCCATTTCAGCCCAGTAGCTCTAGCCGACTCCACCAGATTTAGAGACAGGTGCTGGGGCAGATGCTGACAGCTCCTCCCAGCCCTGCCTTCTCGGGTGGGGGACACCCAGCATGAGCTCAAGGACTCCCTGTGTCCCCAGCCCCTCACCAGCCTGCTGGCCAGCACCGTGGAGGCAGGCTCTTCCCTCAGAGCCACCTTCGGCCCAGCCTGTCAGGGCCTTGGGCCACAAGGGGACACAGCCCGTGGGAAGGAGGTGAGTCCTGGACAGGGGTCTAGGCCCAGCTCCCGGGCCCCTGACTCCCCATCTGTGCACCAAGGTCACAGCCCTCATCCGTAATAACCGTGGCGGCTGCCCACTTAACAGCCAGTATCAGATAAGTAAGAGACCATCGTTTAGGGTAAGTCGGTCCCAGACATTGCGCAGAACATCCTCCTGCTACAGCATGTGCCCTCCTTACCTGACACCCACATTCAACTGGGCATCCCCTCATTTGTCTGGCGCCTTCACCCACCTCCTTCATGTCTCAGACCAGGACACTGGGTGCAGATAGCAGGGGACCTGACCTCTGCCACCAGGCCTGTGGGGAACACTGCGGGCACCAGAACGCGCCTCCCACCTCCTATTGGGTCTTTCCCCGCCAGCTGCTGAGATGGCACAGCCACCCAGACAGGACCAGCTGACAGGGTCCCCTCACACCCCCAGCCCTGCATCCCCTTTAATGTGTCTCTGAGGACTGCACCCCTGCCACCTGCCCGGGAACCCCATCGTGGGCCTACAGCCTTGTTCTCTAAATCACTCTACTTTCCTGAGCCTATTCAGAGCCCTGCTCTCCACTTAGCCTCTGCTGAGAAGGGAAGAGGGTGGGGTCCCAGGCAAGCAGGCCTCTGACAAGCTGGGGGCTCTAGAGCAAGGGTCTCTATCTCTTGGAGCCTCAGTTCCCTTTCTTTCAAATGGGTGTAGTGTCTCCTGTTCATAGGGCTCCCATGTGACACGTCTTTGTGCATGTGGAAGCTTTACAGCCTGTGCTGTGCTGGCAGAGGGAGGCTGGTGTTAGGGCATCCTTCCCCAAGGTGGCTTCTGTGAGTGCTGTTCCTTTGGGAGGGTAACTGGTACTATGTGAGGGAGTAGAAGGTTTGGGTTCTGTGCTCAGGAGGAAATACCGGGCTCAGAAGGTGCCACAGGCCTCCTTCCCATGGGACTCCTCAGCACCCTCAACATGGTAACATGTCTTACCCTATTATTAGCATCAGAAACGCAAAAATGAACATTATGACCATTCTTACAGGGAAGATAACTCTTATATTACGAACAATTGTATGCCAACTTACATTGAAAGGACACATCCCTAGAAGGATACAAACTGGTGAAACAGAATGAAAAGAGTGCAAAATTCAAAAGACCTATATATAATAAGTAAAGTAATAGAATTAGTAATGCCATGTATACCCAGGAAGAAGAACCTAGGCCCGATATTTTTACAGATGAATTCTATCAAACATTAAAAAAAGAATTAATACTAATTCTTCTCAAACTCTTCCAAAATATAGAAGATGTTGCCCTGATGTCAATACTAGAAAAATACAACAGGAAAATTACAACTGGGAAAAGTACAGACCAGTATCTCCTATGAATATGGATGCAATATTCCTCTACAAAACCCTAGCAAACTGGATCCAGTAACATATCAAAGAATTCTATACCATGACCAACTAGAATTTGTCCAGTAATGCAAAGTGATTTAACACCTGAAACTCATTTATGTGATTCATTATAGCAATAGAATAAATAATATAAAGTGCATGGAGGGAGGGGCAAGATGGCGGAAGAGCAGGGTCCCCAAATCACCTGTCCCCACCAAATTACCTAGATAACCTTCAAACCATCCTGAAAATCTACGAATTCAGCCTGAGATGTAAAGAGAGACCAGCTGGAATGCTACAGTGAGAAGAGTTCGCGCTTCTATCAAGGTAGGAAGACGGGGAAAAAGAAATAAAGGAACAAAAGGCCTCCGAGGGGGAGGGGCCCCGCGAGGAGCCGGGCTGAGGCCGGGGCGAGTGTCCCCAGGACAGGAGAGCCCCGTCCCGGAGGAGCAGGAGCTGCACCAACCTTCCCGGCGGGCGGAAAGGGGCTCGCAGGGAGTTGGAGCAGGACCCAGGAGAGCGGGGATGCCCTCAGGCTCCCGGGGACACTAACAGACACCTGCGCCCCGGGAGAGTGCTCCGAGCTCCCTAAGGGCTGCAGCGCGCACGGCGGGACCGAGGAGCAGCTCGGAGGGGCTCGGGAGCGGCTCCGCGGAGGGGGCTGCGGGGCGGGAGCGCGAATCCCACAGCGCAGGCCCCGGAGCACAGGGCGCCGGGACACAGCCCAGGATCCGGCCTCCCCCGGGACAGGCAGAGGCCGGGAGGGCCCGAGACAGCGAGGACGCTCCTGCCCCGAGCTGAGCAGATCAGCGGCCCCGCCCCGGAGCCTCCAGGCCCTGCGGACGGAGAGCCGAGAGCCCCGAGCCCCGTAGTTCCTGCGGAGGCTGAATCCAGGCTTCCAGAGTTGCCATAGCAACTGCGACTGTTCCTCCTGGGGCCTGGCGGGGTAAACAACCCCCGCTGAGCCCTGCAGCAGGCAGGGGCAGAGCAGCTCCCCCAAGTGCTAACACCTGAAATCAACGCAACAGGCCCCTCCCCCAGAAGACCAGCTAGAGGGACCAGTGATACTCCCCCGTGTTCCAATACAACTTGTTTCTGGCCACTCTGCACTGAGCAAAATGACTAGAAGGAAAACCTCAACTCAAAAGAAAGAATCAGAAACAGCCCTCTTTCCCACAGAGTTACAAAATCTGGATTACACTTCAATGTCAGAAAGCCAATTCAGAAGCACCATTATACAGCTACTGGTGGCTCTAGAAAAAAGCATTAAGGCCTCACGAGACTTCATGACTGCAGAATTTAGATCCAATCAGGCAGAAATTAAAAATCAATTGAATGAGATGCAATCCAAACTAGAAGTCCTAACGACGAGGGTTAACGAGGTGGAAGAACGAGTGAGTGACATAGAAGACAAGTTAATGGCAAAGAGGGAAACTGAGGAAAAAACAGACAATCAATTAAGGGACCATGAAGACAGATTAAGGCAAATAAATGACACTCTAAGGAGGAAAAACCTACGTTTAATTGGGGTTCCCGAGGGCGCCGAAAGGGCCAGAGGGCCAGAATATGTATTTGAACAAATCCTAGCTGAAAACTTTCCCAATCTGGGAAGGGAAACAGGCATTCAGATCCAGGAAATAGAGAGATCCCCCCCTAAAATCAATAAAAACCGTTCAACACCTCGACATCTAATAGTGAAGCTTGCAAATTCCAAAGATAAAGAGAAGATCCTTAAAGCAGCAAGAGACAAGAAGTCCCTGACTTTCATGGGGAGGAATATTAGGGTAACAGCAGACCTCTCCACAGAGACCTGGCAGGCCAGAAAGGGCTGGCAGGATATATTCAGGGTCCTAAATGAGAAGAACATGCAACCAAGAATACTTTATCCAGCAAGGCTCTCATTCAAAATGGAAGGAGAGATAAAGAGCTTCCAAGACAGGCAGGAACTGAAAGAATATGTGACCTCCAAACCAGCTCTGCAAGAAATTTTAAGGGGGACTCTTAAAACTCCCCTTTAAGAAGAAGTTCAAGTAACTCTGAACGTGAATGGGCTTAATGACCCCATCAAAAGGCGCAGAGTTTCAGACTGGATAAAAAAACAGGACCCATCTATTTGCTGTCTACAAGAGACTCATTTTAGACAGAAGGACACCTACAACCTGAAAATAAAAGGTTGGAGAACCATTTACCATTCAAATGGTTCTCAAAATATACCCTAAAAACTACAGAACACTTCTGAAAGAAATTGAGGAAGACACAAAGAGATGGAAAAATATTCCATGCTCATGGATTGGCAGAATTAATATTGTGAAAATGTCAATGTTACCCAGGGCAATTTACACGTATAATGCAATCCCTATCAAAATACCATGGACTTTCTTCAGAGACTTAGAACAAATTATTTTAAGATTTGTGTGGAATC